AACCTCCCCCCCCTTGGGGAGATCCAGCGGCGCACCCTCCCTCTCGGGGCTTTCTTTTTGGGCGTCGTGGGGGCGCCCTCCCGCGCTGCCCCGCTGAGCAGAAGGGCAGCCGCCTTCCTCCCCCTTCTCCTCCTCCTCCTGCCTCTTCTTCTGGGTCGGGGGAGGAGGAGGAGGAGGAGGAGGAGGAGGAGGAGGAGGAGGAGGAGGAGGTGAGGGGAGGAGGAGGAGGAGGAGGAGGAGGAGAGGAGGAGGAGGAGGAAGGAGGAGGAGGAGGAGGAGGAGTAGGAGGAGGAGGAGGAGGAGGAGGCGGAGGAGGCGGAGGAGAGGAGGAGGAGGAGGAGGAGGAGGAGGAGGAGGCGGGGAGGAGGAGGAGGAGGAGGAGGAGGAGGAGGAGGAGGAGGAGGAGGAGGAGGAGGAGAGGAGGAGAGGAGGAGGAGGAGGAGGAGGAGGAGGAGGGAGGAGGAGGAGGAGGAGGAGGAGGAGGACGAGGAGGAGGACGAGGAGGAGGACGAGGAGGAGGAGGAGGAGGAGGAGGAGGAGGAGGAGGAGGACGAGGAGCAGGACGAGGAGGAGGAGGAGGCCTGGGGTTGCGCGCTTGCCTGGCAGCTGCTGCCCGCACGACCCGGCCCCTCGACCGTGGCCGTGCGGGGTGGCCCCGCCGGCGCCACCCCGTCGCCGCCCGACGGGCCAACAGGGAGCAGGCTGCGCTTGCTGAGATGATCGCTTCGCTCACTCTGCCAGCCCATCTTGCACGATGGCCGGTGCGGCGCCGCCGAGGTTCTGCACGAACGAAATGGGCACGGAGAGAATGGATAGAATGCCCAACCCGGCGTCCAAAGAGGAGGAGAAGGTGGATACAGACCCAAGGCTCATCAACGATGGTGGAGACAACTCTCCCTCCGGAGGCCACTGCAAGAGTTCATCTCCACGGAGGGAAGTGCCCCGTTGGGAGACAACAGCTTGAAAGTCTGGAAGCCAACCCCACGGATCAACTTGAATGTTGCGTTCTGACGATCCCGAATGCCGCCAGAACGCAATTCCTGTGATTTCAACACCGCGAATCAACGTACCTGTTGCTCCCTGAATCGCTCCATGAGAATCCGTGAGGCCCCTGCAATTTTTGGGATGAGTATGCGCGGCGCCAAGGCGAGAACCACATTTGAAAACGGCCCGCCCTCAATCCGTGACACTCTTTCATTTTTTCCCAACCTTCTCTTGGTTGGGTTCTCGTTTTGAATAGAACAGTGTGGGACCCACCTCCTCCTCCTCCTCCCTCCTCCCTCCTCCCCGCCTCCCCTTCGTCCACTCCCCGCCCCCCTCTCTCTCTTCTGTCGAGACCTCGCGGCCCTGGGGGGCTGCGAAACGCGCAACTGGCCTCCATTTCGTGGGCTCCTGGGAGGTCCACCGGAGTGGAGGTCCACGTAGATCTGCCGAGACCTCGCGGCTCCCTGGGGGATGGGGTGCGAACCGCGCGATTGTCGCCACTTTCGTGGGCTCCTGGGAGGTCAGCGGGGTGGAGGTCCGTGCGCATCAACCGAGGCTTCGCGGCTCCCTGGGGGGTTGCGAACCGCGCAGTTGTCGCCACTCTCGTGGGCTCCTGGGAGGTCAGCGGAGTCGGGGTCCACGCGGATCTGCCGAGACCTCGCGGCTCCCTGGGAGGATGCGATCTGCGCTGTCGCCACTCTCGTGGGCTCCTGGGAGGTCCAGCGGAGTGGAGGTCCACGCGGACGCAGTCTAGACCTTGTGGCTCCCTGGTGTGCTGCGAAGTGCGCGTTTTTTTTAGTATGTTCGTTTGTGTTGAGCGGGCCTTCGTATAGTTGCGCCCCGTGTTAGAAAAACCGCTGGGTACGTCACCGGGTCATTTAAGACGGACGCGCGCGGCGCGAAGGCGGAAGCCACATGTTGAAAGCCACCCGCCTTCAGTTAGTGAAACTCTTGCGCTTTGTCCCAACCCTCCAGTGTTGGGTTCTCGCACGCCGGCGTCCTCTCCCCCTCGGTCGCACACCCGTGGTCGCACTCCTGCGTCCTCGCCTCTCGAGCACTGCGGTCGCACACCTGCGTCCTCTTCTCCTTCGCGCCCTTCCCCGCCCCGCTGGCCAAATTCAACTCCTTGTCTTCGTCCTCTTTCTTGGCTCGGCGCTGGACCCCCCGCTCTTCCTCCTCCTCCTCCTCCTCCTCCTCCTCCTCCTCCTCCTCTCCTCCTCCTCCTCCTCCTCCTCCTCCTCCTCCTCCTCCTCCTCCTCCTGCGCTGCTCCCTGGGGGGCTGCGAGCTGTGCAGCCGCCGCCAGTTTCGTGGGCTCCTGGGAGGCCCGGCGGAGTCGGGGCGGAAGGGCGGAGTCGGGGAGTGAGCAGACCCAATTTGAGACCTCGCAGCTCTCGGGGTGGCTGCGAGCTGTGCCACTGCCGCCACTTTCGTGGGCTCCTGGGAGGCCCGGCGGAGTCGGGGAGCAAACAGACCGAATTGAGTCCTCGCAGCTCTCTGGGTGGCTGCAAGCTGTGCAGCTGCCGCCACTTTCGTCGGCGAGCTGTGCAACTGCCGCCGGGCTCCTGGTAGGCACGGTGGAGTCGGGGAGCAAACGGACCCATTCGAGACCTCGCAGCTCCCTGGGCGGCTGCGAGCTGTGCAACTGCCGCCGGGCTCCTGGGAGGCACGGTGGAGTCGGGGAGTAAACAGACCCATTTGAGACCTCGCAGCTCCCTGGGGTGTGTGTGAACCGCGCGATTGTCGCCACTTTTGTGGGCTCCTGGGAGGCACCGCAAAGTCGGAGAGTAAACGGACTTCGTTGAGACCTCGCTGCTCCCTGGGTGAACCGCACAACTGTCGCTACTTCCGTGGGCTCCTGGGAGGTCTACCGGAGTCGGGGGCTGCGCGCACCCATTTGAGACTTCGCTGCTTCTCGGCATGCTGCGACGTGCGCAATTGCCGCCACTTTCGTTGGCTCCTCGGAGGTTCACCGAAGTCGGCCGAGACCTCGCGGCTCCCCGGGAGTCTGGGGAGGGGGCAGCCGTCGCCACTCTCGTGGGCTCGTGGGAAGCACGGCGGAGTTGAGGGCAGCGCAGATCGTGCATAGCTGGCAATGCGTTCTCCCGCGTGGAGCGTTCATGCAAAGATTCGCCTCGCGAGGAGAATGGGTTGGGTACGTCTTGGATGATGTAAGCCGCATTTTGAAACCACCCGCCCTCAATCCATGAAACTTCGGCAAGTTCTTGAAGCGAATGTGTGCAGCGTTAAGGCGAGAGCCACATAGGCGAGAACCACATTTGAAAACCACACGCCTTCAATCTGTGAAACTTCTGCAATTTAAAAAAACGAATGTGCGCGGCGGTAGGGCGAAAGCCACAGTTTGAAAGTGACCCGCCCTCCATCCGTGAAGCTGCTGCCAATGTTTAAGCTTCAGGCTCATACATGGTGTGGACGTCTCAGGCGAAACGCCCTGCCCGTCCTTCCGGCTGGCCTCGGGGTGCGACAGGGAGGAGTTCTTTATCAGGAAAAGGAACTGGATGATGGGGAAGAGGAGGGGAAGGAGGAGGAGAGGATGAGAGGAGGAGGAGGAGGAGGAGGAGGAGGAGGAGGAGGAGGAGGATGAGGAGGAGGAGGACGAGGGGAGGAGGAGGAGGAGGAGAAAGAGGAGGAGAAGGAGGAGGAGGAGGAGGAGGAGAAGGAGGAGGAGGAAGAGAAGTTGGAAGATGAGGAGGAGGTGGCGGAGGAGGATGAAGACTCTCGATGGCATCTTGCAGCACTCTTGGGGGCAAACAGGTCGTCAGCAAGATGCTTCTCCGGGAGGCCTCTTGGGTCTGTTGATAGGCCTTTCGGGGACGCCTTGGATGCACTTTTGATGCCTCCTGGGGCCTCTTGGGGGCCTCTCGGGGGCGACTTCGGGCCTCTTGGACCGCCTGGGAGCCTGCTGGGGCCTCTTGGGGCCTCTTGGGGACCTCTTGGGACTTCTCGGGGGTCCGCTTTGGGGCCTACTGGGGGCCTCTTCGGGGCCTCTTGGGGGACACTTGGGGGCTTTCGAAGGGCCTCTTGAGAGCTTCTTGAGGACCTCTTGGCGCTTCTTGGGACATCTTAGGAGCCTCTTGAGGTATCTCGGGGCCGTCTTGGGAGCCTCATGGGCCTCTCGGACGCAAAACGGGAGTATGCTAATCATGCAGTTCTCCTAAGGGAATTTCGAGGCTAGCCTGAGAGGCCTCTTGAGGACCTCTTGTGCCGTCTTGAGGTCATTTTGAGCCCTCGAACGCTCTTGGACCGTCTTCGGGTCCTCCTGCATCTCTCCTGGGCCGTCTTTGGGGCATCTTAGGCCGTCTTGGAGACTTTTTGAGCCGTCTTCAGGCCCACTTGGGTGCCCTGGGAGGCCCTGAGGGCGGCGCCGAGGAGCAAAACCATCTCTGAGTAGATTTGCCGTGGATCTCCCCGGGTACTTTTCGTCCAGGGACTCCCGGGGCGGCCCCGCGCGCGCGTACCAGAAATATTCTAAGCCTGTTACCGGAGATCTTGGCACGCCTCTGGCCCGATGGGCCGGCGACTTCTGTGGTGGTGCTTGTCGGCACCGGCATACCTGCAGGCCGATTGATTGACCCTCTCATCCACCGTGCGGCGGTAGTCGTATTGAGGCGAAGCTCAGAGCTTCAGCAGGGTCCGCTTCGATCCAGCCGACGCGACTCGATATCGTTTCCGGCCTGCCCGATCCGATTCGAGCCCGACATTCGAGCGACTCCAGTGCGGCCTGGTGCCCGAGCGGCCCAGGCCCCCGAAGCCGTGCTTTCTTTCGCAATGTGGGCCCCCGAACGTCTGGACCTCTTCCTCGGGACCTCCTCCTCCTCCTCCTCCTCGTCCTGAGTTGTCTTCTAGTGGCCCTGGGTCCCAGTGACGGCTCCAAGAGGCGGACGCTTGCCAGAAAGCCTCCGGTCGCGATTCTTGTCATGTCCCGAGGGGTTTGGCTGGGGCTGATCCTTCGCCAGCTGCGGGGAGATGGCAGAGCTGGGGGAGAGCCGCGGGGCAGGCTGGGCTCTACGAGCCGATCATGCTCGGCATCGTCTTTGGTGCCGGGGTTGCTCTCTGCCGTGCTTTCGGCCCGGGGGCAAGGGAGTGTGAGGAGGGCTCCTCCTCCTTCTCCTCCTCCCTTCTCCCTCCTCCCTCCTCCTCCCTCCTCCCTTCTCCCTTATCCTCCCTCCTCCCTCCTCCTCCTCCTCCTCCTCCTCCCTCCTCTCTCCTCCTCCTCCTCCTCCTCCTCCTCCTCCTCCTTTTCCTCCTCCTCTTCCGTAGCCGCTCTGGCTCAAGCCATTTTGGCTCAAGCCAATTGGCTCAAGTCGCCACCGCGTGCTCGAGCGTTGGTCGGGGGAGACCGCCGCTCGAGGCCCTGGAGACGCCCACTGGACAGGGGTCTTCTGCTTTTCGCTATACACGCATTTTGCTTCTGTATACTGTAACTAAAACCTGAAGGTCTGTTCTTCCTCAGGCCGCCATGGCGCAGGAAGCCATGAAGACGATGATGGCGGAGCTGCTCGCCACCAACCGCGACGAGATCCTCTCTTCCCTCAGGTCGGAGATGAGAGAGACCGTCGGGGTCATCCAGAACCAGGTCACCGCTCATTGCTCAGACCGCAGAAGTCAACTGCTCCATCATCGCATTGTCGGAGAAGACCATGAAGATCGAAAGCGCCCAGAGCACAGTCGCCAGCGTCGCTTCGCTAGTATCCAGCCGACCCGCTGCGCGTTCATTGTCCAGCGACGGAGTCCAGAAGGCTTGACCCGATCGATCTCACTGCGGGCGAAGACGCCGACCCGTGCCTGTCGTTCGTAGGCGCCTTCCCTCGGCCCCTGCTCAGGAAGACGCGTGAGGCCCACTTCTTGCAGCTGAAGCAGTTGATTCCAGAAGAGCTCGCAGATGACAAAGTCGAAGCCATCTTTCGCGCCGCCAGCCAGCTTTAAAAGCTGAAGTTTCACTCCAAAGATGTAGCCGACTCGTTCGTCAATCGCGCCAGCCAGCTGTCCACGCAGTGGCGCGACTTCCGTGATGGCTCCGTCCGCTCCCTGCAGGTGCGGGGGGACCTCCCGTTCCACGTGCGGCAGAAGAAGCGGGCCTTCGCCGCCGTGTGCACGCCGATCCGTGAACTACTACGTCAATCCTCCCTGTGGTGCGCGGACACCAAGCTCGGGGTCAACGGCTACAAGGGTGTCCTGCAAGTCATCACGCAAACCGACGTCTACGAGCTGCTGGTCGCCAAGCCTGTCACCGAGGACGCGTTCTCCTTCGTGCCGACGTTGCGCAGCTTCGAGGCTTGGGGCATCTCGCATGCGCAAGTACGAGGGGTCCTGGAGAGCGTCTGACAGGACGCCCCACGGGAACATAGTCATCAACTGAGCCAGGCCGAGGTGGTACCTCCGCCTGGCGCTTCTGAGTGCCGCCACGATGCCTCGCCGTCTGCTCTGTCTTTTTTTCAGCTCCTCCCCGGGCCTTCAGCAATTTGCGCGGCCGTCTGGAGCCCTCCGTTGCCCCTCTTCGGCCCCTGGTTCCTCCCTTCCTGTCGCCGGCCAGTGTTCCCAGAATTTCCCAGGGCCTTCGGACCCTGTGCAGTCCCCTTCCACGCCCTTCCTTCCTTCCCGACCCCTCAAGATCACTGCGTGGAACTCTCGGGCTCTTCTGGGCCCCATTCATGCTGTCCAACGTCGTCAACAGCATGAACATCGCATGCTTCATGAGCTGCCCAATTCAAACGACACTGCATGCATGCAGGAATCTCATTGGGCCCCATGTGATCTTCCCAACCTTCAACGTGACTGTAAAGGACACCAGCTTTTTGGATCTTTCTGTTCCCGTGCTAGCGCTGCAGGTATCCTCATCTTCCTCTCCAACAGGCTCGTGCGCGACTTTGCAGAAGTCAATATGGTCGAACTGGTGCCAGGGGGGATCGGTTGCTTATCGTTGGTCGGGACTAGTGGTAGCCTACACATCGTTAACATTCACTCGAACCCTGATCTCTCCGAGCCTGTAGTGCGCAGCCAGTTCAAACTTGTCCGCCGTGCCCTGAAGCCCGTTCACCTCTCCGCGTCCTCTGTCCTCGGCGATCTCAATTGCCGCGCGCAGGGTGAATGTAGATACAATTCTACGACGGGTGTTGCACGGTATGTACCAGGCAGTCTGGCCGGGGCCTTCAGTTTTTTTGTTTTTTTTTTTTTTTTTTTTTTTTTTTTTTTTTTTTTTTTTTTTTTTTTTTTTTTTTTTTTTTTTTATTAAAAAAAAACAATATATATATATATATAGTTATATATATATATATACATATATATATATATTTCCCGACTTGGCCCAGATCTCCCAGGGCTCCTTCACCCGCCGGCGTCTTGTTTCTTTTCCTTCTCCTCCTTCCTCACGTGCCCGACTCGACAGGATATGCGCCTCGCTCCCCGCAGCCGACATTTTCTCGATTCCGTGCCAGTGAGTGGAACCACCTGGGCGATCAGTGACATGTCGGTCCCTTCAGATCATGTGCCAGTATACCTTCATCCGCGGCCGTGGAAGCCGCCGAATGGAGAAGTATGTTTGCCAGCCTGGGTCTTCGAGAGACCCGGCTATGCTCGCTACTCCGAGGAGCTTGCCGATGGCCGAGAATTCAGCCCCGACCCCCCACCAAACTGCTCGAAATCAAAGACGTGATGATCGCCGCGGGACAGAAAGCCAAAGCTGAGATTTCGAAACAAGGCCAACACTAACCCCGAGGAAGTTGCGTGCTGTCTTCGGCTCGTTCGAGCACATCGAACGGATCTCGATAAGAGCATCGGCGCGGTTCTGCGCGCTTGCCCCGTGCTGGTCAATTCTTACGACGGCGAGATTCGGCAGTGGATGGGCCGCGCTGCCTCGCATCGGCACCTCGGCCATCTCACGGGGAGAGGGTGCCGACAGCAGGAGGGGGGGAGTCGTTCAGCAGCAGGACAGAACGTGGACTTTCACATTGCGCGTGTTCGCTGGCTGGCAAAGGCATGGGCCTCCTGTCCGCGTGCTATTCCCCTTCCGCGGCATTATCGGCCTTGGCGGTGTCGCCAGCTTCGACGTTGACGCCTGCGCGGGGCACCTGGTCGAACATAGGGGGCAGTTTTTGGTCCCGGCGGGGGGGGGATTTCCCCGTCTCGCCCCCCCGATCCTTTCCGACTCCCGCCAGTTCACCAACGCCGCCCACCAACGGTTCCCGTGGGCCCTAACGTTCGACCAAGAACTCTTTACAGGAAAAAGGATTCCGCCCCAGGACCCGACGGCTTGTGCCGCGCCGCTTGGAGAGCGTCTGGCCCTACGGCGCAAGAGAGTCTCTATGGTGTTTATCAGCGCTTGTTGGCTGGCTTCTCAATGTCCGAGGGTTCCAACGCGGCTAAAAGTTCTCCCCCCCCCGAAGGCGACGCCCCGAACCCCGCCCCGAAGAGGCCTGGCCGAGTGCGCTCTCGAACGCCGACGACAAGCTTATCAGTAGTATGGTTGCGAATCCGATTTCCGAGGTTGTGGCTGACGAGGCGCGCGGGTCGCAGCAAGGTTTTGTGAAGGGTGGAAGCGCCGTGGGTGATGTTTTGGCCGCCGCTTGCGGCGTGTTTCATCGGGGAGCAGCCCGCGGGCATCGGTCGACAGGATCGTGCTTCTTTGGCTTCCGCGCAGCCCTCCCGTCGATCTGCCACTCTTGGATATACCGAGTACTACGAGCCTCTAACTTCTTCGAAGTAATGATCGCCGCTACCCAGCTGCTTTATTCCAATACTAAATGTGCGATCTGTTTCCGTGGGTCCCAAAAGCATTCCTTCCTGGCGCTCCGAGGGGCTAAACAAGGCTGTCCGTAATCGGAAGTACTGTTCGCGATCTGCCTCGACCTGCTCCTCAGGTTCCTCGATCTTATCCCGCCTCGCTACCGTTCGAAATTTGCGTTTGCCGACGACGTGGGCCTCTCCTCTGCAGATATTTGCTCCATCCTGAAACCGTCTGTAACGGCCGCCTGCAAGTTTGGCTACCCGTTTGGTCTCATCAAATCATAGGCACATGTGTTGCAGTGCTGTGCTCCGACTCCTGGCTCCAGGGCGCCGTTTCCAAGTTCCAGGGCCAGGTTCAAAATCCAGATGCGCGGGAAATGCATTGGTTTTGGGATTGGGAAAAGCGGGCCGAGCTTACACTGGTTGCCTGTCTCCAGCAAACTAAGATATATACACACATATCGAGAGAGAGAGAGAGAGAGAGAGAGAGAGAGAGAGAGAGAGAGAGAGAGAGAGAGAGAGAAAGAGAGTGAGAGAGAGGAGAGGGAGAGAGAGAGAGAGAGAGAGAGAGAGAGAGAGAGACAGAGAGAGAACGAGAGAGATACAGAGGCCATCGTGTCAAGCTTCTCGGGCAAGGGCTCACCGCTGGCCAAGCTGCCCACAGCGGGCATGCTATCTCAGTTACCAGTGACGTCGGGCAAGGATTTCGACTTGTAAAAGTTGTTTTACATGCTGAGCGAGTGTCACCGTTTGTGCACCTGCGCCCCGCGGCACGCCTTCCCCCCAAGCTCTTCTGCCGTTTCCGTGCTCTCGGCCTCAGCGCGCAGACTGGCGATCTGCAGACGAGCGCCAGAGCCGCGAAGTTACGCGTGGCGGTTAATTCGAAACTGTTCACAGACTTGGTGGTTCAGCTCCAGGCCTCTCTCGATGGTGATGATGATGCCATAGCATACAGGAGTACCAGATATTGCAGATAATCGTTATCCGTTCATATTTATGAAGAGTTCCTGCATTCCCAATATATTCCTCGGCTCCCTCCTGATACTCGCCCAAAATCCGCCTGGCAGAAGTTTGCCAAACTGATTTTCCAGGACGCCCAGTATCACTAACGCGCAGATTGACCGAAACCTGATGGTCATTCTGAAGGGTGCGGGACTGGCGCCGAACTTTATCTTTGTCGCTTTCCTCAAGACGCTGTTCCGAGGGTGGAGCACCAGTAATATATATAAATATGTATATGTATATGTATATGTATACGTATATGTATATTTGTATTTGTATTTGTATTTGTATTTGTATTTGTATATGTATATGT